AACTTCACTAACCAAGACAAAAAGCTGCGATCTTCAATCAAAGGCTTCCATTGTTCTTGATCCCTGAATATATTCAAAGAGTAATTGAAATATATTTGTATGTAATATATGTATATTATATTTTAGATGTGTTACATCTATATCCGCACAAATATAGATCTTGTTTTCTTAAAATAGAGATAATTAATTCTTACCAATTCATATCTTTCAAAGAAGTCTGGGCCGCACATGGTTGGCGGCATAGCAATACAACTACGGAATCAGCTTTAGCAGGAATAAAGCCCAATACGAAAACATTTCTTGTAGCACAAGAATAACATTCCAAAACAGTCTCTCCAAGAGGGCCATCTCTGCAACAAGTCAATAGATTTTTATAACTAAAAAGTGACATTCAGTTATAACAAATTAAAAAATTCATAATTAAAACAGAATAAAGAATATATTCTAAATACTTTAAATATTTTCTATGCATTTCTCTAATGTGTCTTTATAATCTTTTGTATCAATATAATAGACCACCTGTGTAAAGTGACTTCCTTGTGTTTAGCACGGACAAGATGATTGATAATGTGAGACCCTGACGTATTGCCGCGTCCATTGCAGAACCATTTCCGGCAGACGTTGCACATAACCACACAGGATGCTTCATGGATACCGCAGTATTTACATGCATGATCAGGTAAATCACGGTTATAGTATGCTTCCTCCTCCTCCTCTTCAAATTGCAATTCAGCAAGACTCTGGGCTGCTCCAGAAATCTTCAAATCTAATGACGAGCTACCATTCGTTCCATTAACCTAAATGATAATGTGTTACAGGAGCATTAGAAAATATTTCAGAATAAATTAAAATTGGAGCAAAATCCATAAAGGCTATATTCCGTAAAACATATGATAATTTTACTCTAGTTTAACATTCGGTGTAACAAAAATAAAATGATACATTATGATTTATGAAATGGAGTCAAAGAGAGTGCAAAGTTTATAAAGCAGACGTTATTAAAAACAAAATGTTTATTTGAGACATGTGAGTAAAAGAACTTCTGCAGAATAAAATAAGGAAAAGCCTAACTCCTTCTAGAAACACTAACGCGTTTTTCTCTTTATCTATATGGAACAAGATGTGTTTTCTTTATCAAGAATTTATTTTAAGTTGGAGAAATTCTCTTATCAGGATTAAATACATCGTCATGTTTTTCTTATCTCGCATCAGTGTTAAGCGTCCGCTCGGATTCCGTCATCCGTGCTACATTTGAAGCCGCGGAAGCGACTTGCATAACATCGTGGAATGCTGAAGAGAGTGACCGCACCTAACCTCGTCGCTCGCAGCTGGGAGCGAGGGAGACGGGGATGGTGTCGTCACGCGTTTCTCCAGCGGGCGAGCAAGGTCACGCCCGCCGGAAGTTTCAAACGGAGGATTCCGCTATCGAGGCAAACGTGGGAGGGGGGAAAAGGACGCGGGGGTCAGAAAGATAGGAACGGGGCGGAACATAGTTAGAGGTTAGGCCGCGTGGCCGAGGCAAACTCCGGGAGGTTGTCGAGCCGCGAGAACTGACGACAACTTTCGCCGGGAAAGCGATGAGAGATGAGCGCGCGCGCGCACACGCGAGATCAAACACGCATGGATGTAAAACCAACCTGAATGGATTGACTGGACTGCGTCTGGGTGACATCGTGCTGCGAGGCCTGGGTCTGACTCGGCGACGGCAGGGTGAAGTCGGTGAAGTCAAACTCGCTGCCTTGAGTGTCCGCGCCGATCAGATCCGTCTCCTCGGTGTCGAGGAACGTGAGGGTCTGGCTGCTGGGACCGTACGCGTCGACGCTCATCCTGACACGATAGATCCACTTTCTCGTCTCACTTTTTCTCTTTCTCTTTCTCTCTCTCTCTCTCTCTCTATACCTCTTTCTCACACTCTCACTCTACCTATTTCTCTCTCCTTCTCTCTCACTCTTTGTGTTTCACGATTTCTGCACACCCTCGCTCAGCGAGGACAGAATTAGCGGATCGAGCGCTGCTACTACGCGATGCGTACGCCTTCCAGAGAGCGACAAAAGTACGCGGCCCGTACAGACGCGAGTCGCGAACGGTGCGTGCGACGCGTACGCGCGTACGACGGAGCAGTAAGCGTGTGAGGGGAACAGGCGCTCGACGGTCGACCGATGATGAGTGACGACGGGAAATCACCTCACTTGACTCTCCTACACTCTCCTACGTCGCCGCTCGCGATCATACACCGCGGACGTGCACCCAACACCGAGCACAACAGACGCACGCAATTTTCGTTCTCCACGCGTAAACGCTCGTCGTATGTTACGTCATCAGCTGATCAGGCGACTGGTATACGAAGCACTAGCGAACACTAGCGAATAAGCGGAAACGGCCCTTAGGGCCGATCTTATATAGGCAAAGTGGGAACACGCGGATGGGACAGCGACCAATGGCGATCCGAGTTGATTCGAATTATTGTGCGGTCGGTAAAACTATTGGACTGAATGGACGCGTCGTCGTCGAACAGATGGGAGTAGCTGCGTCATCAGCACCATATCTATAATGATCTGTTCTTTGTAGCTGAACTTTATCTTTCTTCTTTTTCTTTCTACGTTGGAAAGAAAAAGAGAAAAGATGAACTGTGCAAGAACTCTCTTTAGGTAAAAAGAACAGATATATAAAGGGCCGTAATTCGAAATTTGCCGCGTCGCTCATTTAAGTATAAAATCATGATGTACTAATTATAATATATATCAAATGTAAATTGTAATGCCTACGGTTGCCTATGTTCCATTGAAGAGAGAGATGTCTATATTTATGAAAGAGAAAGGGAATATTTAATAATAAGAAATAACATGGAAGTTAAAATATAAATAAAAATCATAATATATGTAAAAATTAGTTATATAAAAAACTATTTTTATTATTTAAAAGCTTTATTAAAAGATTTTTATAAATTATTAATTTGTTGGCTAAAGTAGAGAAATTCTTTAATTTAATTTACAGAAATGTCAAATTTTTAATTACATACATGATTTATCATCCGTGTCATTCCTAAATTTCTGATTTTATTTATGCATCAAAAAATTGTCAAGCTTCAGAAATAATTGAATTTTAATGTACAAAAAATGAGTTTTTTTGTAACATTTGGCTTTTTTTTATAAAGAAAGTTAACGTTATTTTGAAATTTTGTTCAGAAATCAATTGTTCATTTCTTATAAAATGCATTTATACTTATTTTTATCTGTTATTTTATATCTTCGGATTAGACAAGATTTTTTTTAGGATAGCAAGTTTTTTGCCTATAACTAGCTATATATGAGCATAAAGTCATTTATATATATATAACGGAATTTATCATAAATTATACTATGTATTGATCGAGCGTAAAAATAGCAAACTGCTTTATGAATTTTCATTAGATATATTTATTGTCATTATTTTCTAACATATACTACATTTTATATATATATATACTAATGTCGGCCCATATAGTATGTATATATTAGAAATGTGTACGCACGTATATGCGACCGTAACAATTATCAAACTTACAATTTCTACATAGATATAGAATATAGATTAATAAATACACATAATATGTACAAATACTTAGATTGTAATTTTTATGGTTATTTACGGAGATAACTATATTTACTTGCTTATTTACTTTGATACAACGTTCTGCATTTAATATATTTATCTTTTTATAAAACCTCTACTATTCATTGGTCATAGCAAAAGTGAAGGTGAGAAATACGAGATTAATGCAGTTCCTGGTATAAATGATTTATAATATTTATATTATCTTAGCCGATCTTTTGCAAGAAACTTCTAAAATGAATATTATAATTTATATAATATGTCACACTTTGAAGAATATTTGTTGAAAAAAATTTTTTTACAGACTAAACTTAAAGCTTAATCGGATTTTTGTACACAAAATTTCATAATTACTTAATTGATACCAATTAGTATTCATTATATCGCTCACAAACATTTATCTTTATTCGAAGCAGAAATTAGATCATACGCATAAAATCCATTTCAAATTACGTATTAATTTGCACAGAGAGAAGCTTGCAATTACTAAGCACGAGATCAATCTTTCGGTAATTTACTGAATGCCCTAAAACGCTAAAAAGTGATTTTATTGTCCAAGGAACAATATAGAAACGTGCTTTCTCTTTCTTCAAAGGATTCATTTCATCCTCTATTTTGCAATTATTGAGATATATTTCTATAAATCTATAATATTCTATGTACACAACTACAAATCATAAACTTATTTATATTAAATTTAATTAGATGTTTCATCGCTATTAAAAATAAACAAGTTCGAATTCAGATCACGAATAGCGATGTTTTTATACAATATATATATTATAAATTATAAAAAATTATCAGTAAAATAATGGAGAGATGAAAACTCATGACATCGTCGACACAAATGATAAAAAAAGAAACGATAGACTTATATTTTTTAACTAGGATCTATTTACAAATTTTTTTAATTAGATTATTTCTAAAATTGTCAGAATATATTTTATGTGCGATTTAATTCTTTCGCTATGGTATCACTATAGTGGCTATCATACATCGTGCGTTTATTATAAAATGCCACTATAGTAATTTGTACAAATATATTAATTTACGCGATAAAATTATGCTTTTTAATTTTATACATGGAAAAAAGTAATATCTATAAAGTAGAGTTCCGATTTTCTCATTTAATTCCGTCGCTATTTGCAAAAAGATTAATAACAATTCTATGAGTAAAGAAGTTTTCATAATCGAGAATTTCGTCGTTTTCCTACAAGGATTTAATAATATCAGGACATAATAATATCAGTTGAAACGGTAGAGTTAATATTCTTATATGAGTAAATTAAATAAAAATATTTACAAACGCACAAATATATAGTGTATGAGCGAAGAGGTCAATTCATTTTTTATGTACATAAAAATTCTTGAATTGTTAAAATTATTGAGAACAATACTTTTATATTTTCTGTATATTTCTTAATTTCGTTTCTTCCAAGTTTTATTTACTTTCGTTATACAATAGCTACGTACCTAATCTGACATTATAAAACATAAGAAAGTTCCTCGATCAAACCGTATGACTCTTTTCCTTTCAACATGCATATCGTGCGGAAACACACAGTGTATACGTTACTGTGACACATATTTACAAGTTCCAAGATTTATTAATACGACTAATAATAATAATATTGGTCCATCATATTATATAATCATATTATTTTCACATTTCACCGAACGAAACAAAATTCTCAGACACAAAGTTGGATTTCATAGAATTTGCCATTGCGGATGTAAAGTATCTTAGAAATAGGACGAACTTTATTCCAAGTCAATCATATTTAAAGAAAAGGAAATTCTTACTGGACCACGAGATTCCTAAAACATTCATTAAAAAGCTGTTTTGACAGCGTACAAAGGTAAAATGATTTGCTGATCGCATGAACCATGGTAATCTGTTCGGTTCATAGTTAATTAATATTGAGGGTTCGGCGAGTTTCTTTGGAAGTTACTCTGCACGCTTTGACTTTGCTGAAGAGGCCCGGCTGTACTCGGTCTTCCCTGATCGCGGTATTGTGGAGGTCCATTGGGTGGGCCCGGAGGTCCAGGTACCTTGCCGTAATTTCCTCGCGTGGAACTCTGGTAACTACCATACGCGGAATCATCACTGCGTCTCGACACATGGCCATACATGCTCTCGGGCCGCCTGGGGGCCCCATTATCCGAATTGCTCGATAATGGTCCGTTCTGAAGTTGCTGCTGCTGCTGCTGCTGCTGCTGCTGCTGCTGCTGCGATGGAGGCTGCGGTGGTGGATGATTTTGTATCGAGGACTGGCCACTCTGCCCGGACTGCTGCGAATTTTGGCTGCTAGGCGGTGGTGCGGGTGCACGACCGTAGATGGTGGATCCGGTAGAAACTCCATAAATACCGTTCTCCCGAGTGCTGAGACCCGTGGAGATCCCGCGGATGCCGTAGATGCTCTGCGTGCATTGTTGCAGTTGATTCTGCATGTTCTGATTGGTGCTGTTGTGATTCTGTGCCGATTGGCTCGGTGGACCGCCGAGTGGCTGTCCGGACTGGATCTCACGATTACCGTTTTGACAGCTATTCTGACCTAATCTGATTGGATACAGACTCTGTGCTGGCACCAGTGGGCCCGGTTTCGGGATCATCAAACCATCCCGCGGCCCCGACGTCGATTTCGCGTAAACGCTTTGTGAACGGTTCAGATTAGCGCGTGTCAACGGCGGTGATTTGCAGTAGAGCGACTTGGTACCACCATAAATCGACTCGACACGCTCCAACGCGGATGGCGGTGCACTGTAGATCGACGAGGATGCGCCGGCGACTGGACGATAAGTTGCGTACGCGCTGGGGAACTTGGGCCCGTTTGGTTTATCCAGATCGTCGTACGTGTCTTCGTCGGATCTCATGGACGAATTGTCGCCGTCATCTAAATCGCGCGAGTCCTTCGTCTTCCTGGAACTCAGGACGTATTCGTGCAGCAGAGCTGCTATAGCACCTCCCGACAGCGGGCCAACCCAGTACACCCAGTGATTGTCCCAGCGATTCATCACGAACGCCGGACCCAACGCGCGGGCTGGATTCAGGAAAGGACTCTGAAAATTAAAAAAAAAGGATTATCAATTGTAATCACAACAGTAAGTTTTTAAGAATAATTCTTCTTCTTGTTTAATGTTTAAATACTTAAGTATGTTTTTGTTAAAAATTTTAAAAAATTATAAAATTACAAATAATTTATATTTAAATATCTCTAACAAATTGTAAAATTTTATTTCACATATATTATATATGATACGTTCCATTTTTTTTTTTTTCGTAATACTAGACGTGACAATCGAACAAAGAAACATGCAAAGATACTTAGGAATTTCGCATTGAAAGCAATGTACTTGTTCGATTTTGCAAGGGGATCAACATTCAACACGTGTGGAACGTTGGTTTCGACATTTTTCGTTTTGGGGTGCATTGTACACTCGTTCCGGAGCAGGTGGGTCCAGGATCAAGTTCTTTCTTTCACCTCCCTGTTCGCCGTCCTCCATGAGCCCACCCTTCTTCTTCATGCAACGGCAGGTGCTCTTTAAAGATGCGGACGTCGGCCGGATTGGAAAGAACCCGACAGACGCTTTTGGACAGAGAGTGGTTGCAAGAAACGACATGCATAACGGAAGAAGAAAGCAAAGAATGCTGTTTTTTCATTATAATTACGCATACGCTAGAGAAAAGGAAATATCTTTTCCTTACAAGATGAATTATTTAATACGAAAAATATAGAATAATAACTTGCAAAAATTACTATAGACAAAGAATTATTTCATTAATAATTTTGTGACAATCTTATAACTAAATATTAAATATAGAATATAAAATACAATATAAAAGATTAAATTGTATTTTGCATTATTAATAATGAGAGACTTTTAATTACCACACTTTAATAATGTTATTATAATTATTAAGAGATCGAAGATACGTAAATTTGAAATAATTAGAGCAACCGAAACAACACATGTAATTATCTGTAATGACAATAATCATTACTTTAGACAATCTCTAAAAGTAATAATTAATTATTAATTTGATGGAAAAATTATTGCATCCATTATTTGTCCAAAATCGTCCTTTTTATTAAAACTATATAATTAAATGATCATAAAACATAAACTTACAAAAACGAGAGTAGCTGCTGTATAGGCTGCAGCCAAAACTGCGGAAGCTTTCGAAGAAATCGTAGGTGGCAGTGATCTAGGTGAGTCTACAGTGAAATGCGCTAGCACAATAAATACTGATAGTGCTACTTCGATTAGAAGCCTCTCGACTGGACCTCCTAATCGACCAGGGGACGTCAGAGTCTGCGTGCTCGAAGGTGTAGTTACTCTGAAATCAAAAGAGAAATAAATATGATAAATATTGTTTATATATGTAGAAATTATTTCAAAATTATTTGTCAATAACTGACTCATCCATTAATGAAACTTAAGTAATATTGTATCTTGTTTGAATATAAAACTGATTACGATTACATCATAAATAATTAAATTTAATTTATTTGATTGCAATGAATGCACGTAATGTATACTATCAATTTTCAGTACTGGCAGTGAATCGGAACGCAGTCAATATATATATATATATATATATATATATATATATACATACATATATATATATATATGTATATGTATATTTATTGAGGACATTATCAGAAGTTATATACTTATATTATTGTAATTTTTGCAACTTTCCTACAAGATAATCGTGATAAAAAATTCTTTTTTTCTTCAGAAACAGAAAATTATCGATCGCTCGCCAAAAATGATCACATATGGTCTTCTATATGGCAGTAGTGTCAGTATGTAGAAGTTATATCGCCATCGAGATATGATGTACGATGATTTTCCTATTGAAGCTTGCTGTGAGACATGCACCCTGCATAAAAACCCCCTGCGGTAAGTTGGTCCCAACGGTGTAATGTTTATATTAGCTAGTGCATCCTCGAGCCCTTAAATGTGACCCCGATGTTTCCTTTCATGACATTTTCCTTGCATAAAATTCTCGTTGATTTTCTCAGTTCATATAATCATATGGGGTCGCAGAGATATGACCTCCAAATCATATCCCACGAGTGCTCATGCGGTTGCACTTTACATATTCCTGAACTTGAGTTTGTTTGTCAAAATAAGAATGAAATAAATGTATTATATATCAAGTGCAAACGTATATAATGTAATTAAATGTTTTATAGGCAATAGCTACAATTTTTCAATAACTTGAAAAAATTAATTCAATCTTAATATTTTATATAACTTTAAGTCTCTCGTTATTAATTTCCTCAAATTAAAAAAAAAATAAATTTTAGGTTGTTGAACGGAAAAGATACAAAATGTGTGTCAATTTTTATTGTTTTTATAGTTAAATATAATAATAAGTTTTGTAGTTAAATATTACACAAATATTATAATATTTTTTCTTATTTTAATCTTTTTACGTTTATTTATTTGACGAATATTTCCTTTAATCCTGCCTTTTTATAACGAGCTTTCATTCGTGCTATTTATACATGCATGGACTATGAAATGACTTGGTTCAGCCAAGATTCCTCAAATACAGCATTTAAATTTCAATAATATTACCATAATCATGTCTCTTGCATCATCTTCTATTCCCTTTTTTGCCTCAATTCGTAGAGGTGCACAAATAAGATGCGAAAGTGCTCATAATTTTACTTCGAAGAAATTATTAGCTGAGTTTTTTCTCTCTCTTGCTCTAAACTTTATGTATTTAATTTAATATCGTATTAATAAATAACATTTTTTTATGCTGAAAATATTTTTTCTCTTTTTATCGAGTTTTTACTTTTTTAATTATCATTTAAGTTTTGATGAGTTTTTTTTAATTCAATTTAAAATTAATTATATTAAGAATATTTAGAATTAATTTTTTCTGTTCTTAAAATTGAAATCGACGTTCTTCAAACGCATTGCATATCAGAGACGCTTAAACAGATAAATTCGTCCGGTAATATCTACTCACAAAATTTTTACAGGAATACACCTGTGCAAAAATACACCGGTTCTCGCCCCTCGCAACTTTGTCCCGTTGGTTGTCTGATCGCACGATCGCGATTAATCCTATCGCTAAATACTGGGCTCGAGTTGCAATTCATCGCCCCTCGTATTCTTCCTTCTCATCAGACTCGAAACACCCCGTCTCAAAGCTGCGGTTGCGATGCAAATGACAATACTCACTCTCTTTCCCGTCCTCTCTTTTCTCTCCACCGAACGTGTCACAAGAGAGCGAATTGATGAAATCAGAAATGCAGATCATGACCGCACAATTGGGATCAACTGCGACAGTCGACGAGAGTCCCCGATCGGATAAAAGAGAAAAGAACGGCAGCATTTTTGTATTTACACGCGTGCCCTCGCATGATAAGCGGATTTTTACTTCTTTTGCAAAAAAATCGTCCGGCAATATGCGTTTCTCACGTGGATACGTTACGCTGCGATCAACGTACGAATGCACGAGAACGATAACGACGTATTTATTTTTCTTTGTGTGAGATAACTTTGCCAGAGATGATTCTGTCGAAAGCTCTGTGGATATCTAATGAATAATATAATGTATTATATAATATAATGTAGGCCTGTCCAATTAGAATTTCAGAGCCAAAATACAAAACCATTGACGCAAAAAAATCAATATGGAGATTGTAAAGTGTTGATACGCATCTGAATGACGCTTATCAACAACACTTTACAGTCCATGAAATCTTACATTGAATCTTTTTTGCATCGATGATTTTACGTTTTGGCTCCGTTTTAGCTCAAATTGGACAGACCTGATACATATAATGTATAATATTTTATAGCAGTTTATTTCACGGTTATTATTTCACGGTTCTTTATATAAAAATCGGCTTTTCCAACAATTGTCAACTGAAGATATAGTATAAATGGAATGCGAAGCCTTTATTGTTGAAAATTTGAATATCTTCTATTATTTCCCTTTATGTGCTATATTCGTTATAGTGTTTTTTGCATCTATTTATCACGACTTATTTAATTCTGCATTTCTTCATTCATTTTCGAATCTGATTCCGGACTTTATTATCTCGAAAATATTTCTTATCCACAAGGTAGTAAGCTGACGTCGTTTTGATGATAAATAACGTCAGCTTACTACCCGAGCTAAAATCTTTTTATAAATATCATTTTCAAACTAAATGAAACTAAAATCTATCTTCTATATTTTTTATTTTATGTAAATATTATAGTTAGATAATTAATGAAAGATACTTATGTCCAATGATACTTTCGAGCAATGTAGATCTTTAATCTCGGTTCAACTTATTTTTTATCTTTTTCTAATTCTTAGAACTGAAAAAAGAAGAGTAAATTGAATCGAAATTCAAATTTATTTACATTGATGGAAACAAGCATCAAGTTTTGATACATTGGCATCATATTTTATGTCATATATTATTGATAAAAGTAGAACCAGAATGATTTTTTTACTTTGAAATTATCAAGTTTTGTATTTAAAATTTTGCCATATTCGAAAGTAATATAAAAAGAGTAATACAAAATGATATATATTTAAATGTCCTCTGAATTATTTTGCATATAATACGCTTATTGTCGCTGGCTACTGGCTTTCGCGAGAAACGGCGATCTCATATGAAAGGCGAGTCGAATGCATGTAAAGAGTAGTTTCATGGGAGAAATTCGACGAGGTTTCGACCCGGGAGGCGGGTGCGTTCTCAGGCGGGATCGTCGTGCGTGATGAAAAGCGCGTGGTCATCCAGGCGAGACATGATGGTGGAAGGTTTAATCTTGCGTGCACTTGACTCGAGAGCCGCAGCCAGTGCCCGATACAACCTGTGCACCGTTTTCGCGATTCACACGCGAGGGGTGAGAGAGACGCCTCGGCGCAAACCCCCCAGGGTACGTCGGTGCGCCCGTTTTAAATAAATTTCAATTCAACGGGGATGGGAGGATGGACGAGGGGGAGGAGGGGGGGGGGGGGGGCAGGATATGTATCACTCCGAACCCACCCTCCGTTGCGATTAACGAGCTATTGATACCCCCTTCCGCGTGCTGGACCACGAATCCCCTTCTCGAATCTTGTCGAGACGTGATCAACCCCCTCTGTCCTGGACTGCCTTCCACTGCACCGAATTCTGGACACTCCAAACCGCTTCAGAATCCCCTTGTATGAGGAATATCGCACATGTGACGAACGCGATAAACGACGAAAGCTCAGAGGGTCTGGGAGATGATGCGTTCGCTTCGATACCATTATAAAGTCTTGGGAAAGTTCAGATGGCTGAGGTTAGCATGGTCAAACCATGAAATTAGAACGTAGATGAACCGTAAAGTCATTATTGGGGCGACGAAGGAGGGATGACGATGGATTTGGTTTCATTACTAACGAAATCAAAGATGTTGTATATCGAGCTTATAATTAATTTATCACAACGTAATATTTTAATTTAGAGGGAAAATACAGTTTTGATTTCTAAAAAGTTAGAATAAGATGTTTTAAATAATATTACACTCCTTCTAAGTTTAAAAGTATCTTAATTATATTTAAAAGTATTATAGTGAAGTAATAAATAAATTTCTTAACAAGAGCTTCTCTTTTTTGAAATATATTAGAAAGCTTGATTCAAGTAAAACTAATTAAAAATTTAAATGTGAATATTGTCAGTGTATTATAAAGATTGATGGATATTTTATCCAATAGCTAATGTATAGTGAACTGCAGATATGAAACTAGGTATATCTGGAATATCAATGAGTGATCATAGAATACCGCTTTCTTCTCGAGATAAATATGTTTTACGAAGATGAGAGAACGTAGAAAATGCCGCATAGCTCCAATGGGAACCGGACCCGTATCGAATAACCGTGGGAGCAATGTATAAACGTCAAAATGCTGAAATTATTACACGGCTTGATTATTATTATAATTCCTCCGGCGTGTTGTACGCCAAGTTCATCATCATTATCATTCGAGTCTTCTGCGTGTCTCCTCATTACAATAGCTCGCCGCGCTACGGGTTTTCTTGCGTCCGAGATGCATCCGTCTACTTTTACGTTCTCCTTTCTCACTTTCAAGAAACTGGCGTGTCGTCGTCAGGATCGGGTACGCGGCCCGATGATTTCGGGTTTCATCTTTCGTGTCCGATGCGGTTTCTTGTTCGAGGTGTGTGCGCCGTAACAAAGCACAGGAATTCCTATAAAAGAGAACGAAGTATATCGGAGAAAAGGTCGCCCTACAATTCCGCCCTCCCGTATTGTTTATGGTTGAAAGGAGACAGGAAGCTGGGTACGCCGATTAAAATACCGAATTCACCTACGCACAACGTGCAC